ACATGCATTTATATACAACGTTAGTGTATTTAAAAACAAACTATCAAATTATAATATATTGAGCCCCAAATCACCCAATTTCGTTAATCTACATCATCCTAATGAACAGAATTAACTCCCTCTGTACTGATTTGTGATATGTATTTTTATAGTGCTTTGCTGTGGCCAAAGTCATTGTACTTCTACTCTCTTACTTACTTGTAAGTGATTTCGAATCAGTGGAAAAGATAAATAGCCACATATATACCTGGCTATAGCATTAAAATAACACAATATTATACTTTCTCCACTGTTATATCCCATTTATTTAATTGGATAAGCAGTTTTTACCCAAGTTTAATTTAATTATGGTGATCATAATTAATAGTGATTGGAAGAATACAACTGTAAAACAGTTCTATGGTTTGTATACCTTGTTTGTCTTATTTGTGTTAATAAAAAACATCTGAGATAGTAACACAATAGGGAGACAGTATGTTATAGCAGAAAGGGCACTGGGCTTGAAATCATTATTCAGCTTATGGTTTTATTCCTACTTCTCTTATCATTTACATTAATTAATAGGTATTATCAAAATTATTTTAAAAAGCATTTATTCTTATATGACAAGTACACACACATGTGCATTTTAAAAAGCCACACAATACTTCAATTATCTTCTGCTGATGATATATTATCTATAGTGATTGTCACAGAAAAAAATGTTTCAAAATGATAAAACAAGAGTACAGCCTACTCAAGTCATAGCTATAGGAATAAGGTATATTTACTTAATCTTCAGATTCTCAGTTTTATTCATCTGTAAATTAGTGATAAAATGCTGGCTTACAACTTTCCAGAGTGATTAGGATCTCATGAGTTGACAGTAAAAGTGCTCCCTTAAGTGGCATATATTTATATATAAAGTGGTTGTTCTAAACTCTTAAACATGCACATAGGCACACAAACAAAAATATTCAAAAACAACTTAGCGTATCTCATGGGAATTCATCTCAGAAAATGCCTCACTGCTATTAAAAATCCTTTAAATTTCAATAGTTACATGCCTTACCACTAAATAGCACCACTTAGAGTACTTTATATAGAGGCATGTTTTGTAAAACTTCTCAATTGGCAGATTCATTGCTCTATTAGTGAAAGGCTATAAAATTTATATTTTCATTCTATAATCTTTTAACTAAGGACTTTTAAAAATAAAAATGATTTAGTATTTGCAATTTAGCAGCCGGAATGCCTTTAGTTGGAAGAGGTGTCTTGCGTACCAGACGTTCATCTACAATTTGAAAGGTGATCTTTCTCCAAGAATTCTGAAATGCTGTAATAACTTTATATGGCTCTGAACTGCTTCATTCTAAAATCCCAGGGCTTTTCTAATGTGACAGGTTTAACGAAATTCCAAGGCTCCAATCTTAGTACTTTAAACCAAATTGATAAATTGTATCCTTAACTTTAAAATCTCTACTCCTGATAAAAATGTGAGGTTTAGTAATTCCTTCCTAGTCTTGGAATATGCAGAAATTATAAATGACTATAGAGTTTATTTCCTAGCTTTCTTTCTGTTTCATATGAATCTGAACCAGAAAGCATATTGATTCGATTTAAACTCGAACCCACAGAAGGAAGCTGGCTAAAGACATGGAGGCTAACTCACAGTCTGTAACCAGACTGGTTTGTCTAATGATGTAATTGTTGTTACAATAAATGGCTACATGCACAGATTTCTGTCTGGTTAGACATTTGGCTTGAAATAAACAGAGAATTCAATCCAAATATCAACTTTAAGGCCAAAAGTTGCCTTAAACTCTGCCAACCTGATGCTAATTCAACTAGGAATAACATGTTTTTTGTTTTGTAACAAATTAGTCCTTGAGTTGAATCTATTAAACTGAAACTGATGGTGATTTCAGAAACATGTTTGATGAGGTCATAATCTCATTGCAGTTGGTCTGGAACCTAATTTTCTTGTCAAACGTCACTTATGTACTTTGGTATCACAGAAGTGAAAGGAATGATCCAAGAACTGGGAAAGGAAATACTTTGGCTCTGTAATTTGATTCATAAAAAAGGCCTGTTTAACCACTTACTTTGTGAATGCCTATTCTACAAGTTTAAAGATTATTTTTTGTCTGAAATTAGCTCTACTCTACCATCCTAAGGCCATAAGAAAAGCAGGACAAACTTAACGAAAAACAGTAACGTAACTAAAAATAATTTAAATAGGGCTCTACTTGTGTGTGTCACTTATTTTTGGCATGCTGTATACCTGTATTTTCAGATCTTTTATTCCATACAGTTAAAGGAAATAGCATTTAGAAATCATTGGAAAATATTAGTAAATAAAGAACGTAACATGCACAGTTATTTGGATGGGAGAAAAATATGCCAAACAAGAGACTTTTCCAAATTACTTGAAGACTAAAAGGATATGTATGTATAACCAAGAATAAATGTATGTGTTTAGAAGACATTAATATACTATAATAGTTTATGACAAAATAAAGAGAAAATACTGAATTAAACATGAAAATGAGTGTCTAGTTCAATAGTACCACATCAATATTTTCTTAACTGAGTTTCTAATGCTATTTATCTTTCTCCTCTTTTAAAATAATTTACAAAGTGCTAGTTTTCTGTGTTGCTATCCAAATGTGGAATGGCTTTTTATTTGGAGCATGCAACAAACAGAAAGTTTTCTTTCTCCATTCAAATTATGACATCATTCATGGGTCAGGGCAAGCTACAAAATTTGTGTAGCTTAGTGCAAAATAAAAATATGAAGCCCCTTATTTCTTGAACTAAGAATTTCAAGACAGCAACAACAAAGCATGAGTCTCTTCTTAACACAGGGGCCTTTGTAGTTACATACCCACAAAGCCAACGATGAATGGGACCATCAACAAAACTTTCTATTAACATGCATTTGTATTGCTGGTATGATTAAAAAAGACATGAGGGGTAGTTACTAAAGCATCTTTCTTTACAAAGTACACCAACGAAAAGTTATCCTCCAAATGGGTCCACACATACCTATTTATCAGCCACATCAAAATGAACAAGCTGTTGAAAACATGGCACCAAGGACAAGAAGTAGGGGAATTAAGATACACATCAAGCCCTGCAGCTTCCTGCCTTTGATAGAAATGTACAATAGCGTACTGTTTGCAATATCTTTCATTTCTCTGCTAAAGAGTTCTAACTCACACCCACTGGAGGCTTGTGAAAAGATGCAACCCATACTTAGGAAAGGGGTCAGACATGTTTGTTCATTTTCAATATCTTTTATTCTTACATTAAAAAATATAGCAAAGATCTACAAATCTGAATTAAAACTCTTGAATTTCAAACGGCCTTGTTCTTAAATATTCAATCTCACATAATAATTCATATAAAATACGAATAAAACCTTTAAGACAAGATTAATTTAACTCATATATACTAATTTCATGAAACAACAAGTTTAAACCTTACATCATTATTAGCATTGCAGTATATTACCGACATATATATGTAGTCTGGGGTCACTACAGAAATTGGCAAAGGAAATTACTTCTTTAATGCAGTCTACAGGCACACCTCAATAACAATGACACGTTTATCTTTCACTTATTGGCAAGTTTTTTCAGTGTTTCAAAGCTTGACTAATCCACAAGATAACATCAGCATATTTAAATCCTTAATTTTATTAAATCCAACTTTATTTGTTAAATGAGGATGATTTCCACTTTCTTTCATCCAAACTCTCATGATAAGGGCTTTGATAAGATACTATCACAAATTATTTTCCTACAGGGAATATGTTTCTAAGAAAAAGTATGCTAACTAAAGGAGGGGGGAAATGGATTTATACTTTGAAAGAAATTTTCAAAAACTAGCATTCAAGATAGAAAGATCAAGAGATGGGTTTTATCTTCCTAAGTTTTGAATTACATACTATCAGTCCAATTTGAAAGTCCATTTTAGGTTTATCTTGTAAATCTTCAGTTAAAGCAAATGGTAGATAAATATTTATTTTTTATTTTATACAGTTTAGCAATAAGTATTTGTGGCAGATAAAGCAATATCTATCAGTTTCTTAAAAGAAAAAAAAATCAAGATTGTCCACTTCTTCACTTGCACTGTCTTAAATTAATATGAACTAAATAGTGATGAAAAAAAGAAAACTCAAAAACACATTGAGTATACCTAATCCAAAAATCTAAAATCTGAAATGTTCCAACATCTGAATTTTTTTTGAGCACTGACATTACACTAATAGGAAATGCTCCTTAAGCATTTCAGTCTTTAGACTTTCAGATTAGGGATGGTAAACCAGTGTAATTGTTTACTGAATCTTTTACCAAAAAAAATCCCAAATCTAAAACACATCATCTGGTCCCAAGCATTTTGGATAAGGGATATTCAACCTGTATTGTCAGTCTGAAGCATAATGCTTAACTTATGCAGAAAAGGCTACACTATATTAGAATTTTAGTAGTTCTCAATGAAAACTATGAGCTCCTCAGTATCTTTGAAACTTGATAAACTACCTTATCAATTACTGCCCACGTATTATTTGTATAGATACATGTATAGGTCCTTCATGAGAAATAATTTGCTTTAATGACACAGAAATAAGCAATACTTTAAACCGGTACTCCTTGTAAGCTAACTATTAATATTTGTATTCTCCCAATATTCATATTTTGAAATTCTAACTCCCATGGGGGTAGTGTTAGGAGATGGAGACTTCTGAAATAATTAGGCCTAGATGAAGTCATAAGGGTGAAGCTCCCATGATGAAATTAGTGCCCTTATAAAAAGAGAGACGCCAGAGATTCCTTGTAAGGATAAGCAGAAAGACAGCCACAGCAAGTCTGGAAGAAAGCCCTCACCAATAACTAAATCTACCAACATCTTGGTCTAGGGCTTTCCAGTCTTCTGAACTCTGAGAAATAAATGTATTGTTAGCCATTCAGTCTATGGTATTTTGATATAGTAGCCTGACCAGACCAAGAAAGTACTTGTAAAAAAAATTAGAAAGTATGCTGACAAATTCTAACCATATTAATACTAAGTATAAATATCAATATTATATGAAGAAACACTTATTAATATTGTAAAATCTAGTTCTTGGTAATTTCCATTCTACTTCACTTAGTTAATAACATTTTCTAGTGTTTTTTGTATTTAGCAATTATAATATAGTGCCTAATTGTATCATTTAGAGAGGTTTAAAGAGTATTGCTTAGAGTAATCCCAAATTATGTATTCTCCACTGCTAAGAGTCTAAATTTTCACACTAGTTTTATCGTAATTTTCTATCAAGAGTCTGCCTTTGCTAAAATAAATATATATATACATATATATTCGAAGTCCACAAAATAAAATGCTTTAATTCCCTTCAATTATTAGAACCACTATAAAAAATATTAAAGAGAGAAATTAAATACACTTTTTGAAAATGCTAAATTAATAACTTGAGAAATGCTTCTTAACAAAAGAATTGTGCCTCCCTAGATTAGTACCTACAATTAGAAATATTTTCCTCTTTAAGAGGCATACATGATTTACCACAAAATCTTCATAGCAATAAATTTTAAAGAATAGATTTTAATGTAAGGCAAGATGTATCTGGACAACAGGTATTTCTGAAGTGTTTTAACCTTTCATTAGCTCCCATTGACATGGTCCTACAGAGTTCATTTTACTATAATTAAATTTACTAAATACTGAATTTCAATGCAAGTATGAAAGCGTCAAAGAAACAGAAGCATTTAGGCTTTCCTCAGAATGTATTTTCATACATGCAAAAAGAAGAGACACATCCTATACTCTGCCTATACTTTACTCAAATTCAAACAGTATTTGCTAACTGCTTCCTATGTACACATTACTCTTCCTTCACTGTTTTTAACATGTCAGTTAAAGGTACATTCAAAATTCACTGTTTTTACCCCGCAAATTGCTATTAAAAAAAAAAAAAAAGAAAAAACCATTGCACTGAACTTTCAAAATTAGTGTTTTTCAGGCCAAAGTGGTTTTCAAGTCAATCTGCGAATGACACTAAATGCTGTAATATTCAATCATTAGATTTGGAGGGGAGGCAAAGAGTTGCCTGCATTTGAAAGTACTGAAAACCAATATATTAAATAGGGAAATTTGCAGATGTCCATTAAATTGTGTATGTATGTGGGTTCTAATAGACTAACTTTTTCTAAACATGGAAAAAGCCAAAAACAAAAGAGATGAATTTGACTTTGAATAATTCTTCATCCTAAATTAGTCACACTACCTATGTTAAGGTACTACATATGTGTGTGTTTGTATACATATACATATAAATATATATGCATATATTTGCCTTTAGTGCATATTATAATATGCCCTGTTTTCAAGAGTTCAATTTCATTAATGTAGTAATTTAATTGATTCACTTATTCTTTTTACAATATTTCATGTAATAACTATTTTGATGACTTACTACAAGTGAGGAATTAAATACATTTCGTTGACCTTTATATATTTTATGCTTAAGACATCTGAATATATTAGGCAATCAATCCATACCTAGAACTGAATTAATGTCCTATTCAATAGTTAATTGTATCCAAAATGGTGTTTCTATCTGATATTCTTTAAAGCTTCTTGCACTGAAACACCATTATCAGCTCTGATAGAAAAACTATGATATTTTCTACTTTAAAATATAATCTCTACTTGTTTACACTATTTTCCTCAATGTATTTTTTAAATATCTTGTGCTACACTAAAATGAATTCATTCTAAGTACAAAGTTATAAAAATTATGTTACTGCATACATTATGAAAACTGCAACATCTGCTAAGCTTTCATAAAAGGTGCTGAGAATATCACACATTCATGCCTTTTTAATACATAGATTATCACGATATGTATTTTCATTTTATAGCATACCTAAATCCAAATTTCAGAAATGTTATATACAATATTCACCAAAAACACAGCCAATTATATCTTCTCATACATCAATATATTTCTGAAAACTGTTCCAAGAAGTAAATTCGAGATTGCACTATTCATTTTCCACTTAGGAGATTAATGTTAGGCATATAAGAAATGATATGCTATAGCCAGCCCACAGTTATGTTCATGAATGGACCCTCTATACAAATAAAATTTAAATCTTAGGTCACATACATTTTTTAAAGTTTTTCCTGTATGTCAGATACATTTAAATTATTTTGAAACCATAATGTCTGCCTTATTTGGGCAGTTATAATACTTATTTCTTTAAATGCATGCATGAATTTTAATTCTGAAAGAATGGGATCTGTTCAAGTTTTCAAAATCAAAAAATCATAAGTTTGAATCATAAGCACACAGGCCTTTGTCTTTTCAGACAGGGTTTTTGCTTGTTCATTGTAACCACGTCCTCCTATAGAAGTCCCTTTCTGCATCTGACTCAATGGAACATTCTCATTATTCTGAGGTCCTCCTGTAGTCTTCCTAATAAACCATCCTCAGGTGTTATAAAGAGCTTTGGAAGGTAACATTCAGACATACTTATGACATGCATCAAACTTATCATACTTGCTCAATGGCTGTCTTTCCAGGCAAATGAACATTATAAGGACAGAGAATGTTTTATTCTTACCACACATCACAGTGCTTGGGTCAATAAATGTTTACTGAAAGAATTTATAGAGGAAAGCAATAATTGTATTGATAATGTTTTTGTTTTTAGGAATCTTTTGGTTTCTGCAAAGTTGGGGATTTTTATCTGGGCTGACATTTCTTTTCTAGAAACCAATATAATTGGTCACATTTGTCTCCATTTTGTAGTGATGTTTTTTATTTCCTATAATCAGAAATGCAAATATTTTTAAAGCCTAAACAAAATTTACCAACCAAATATCTTATAAGATGAGATATTTATTTCAAAGAATTTCAGTGGAAATTATGGATCAATATATTTTAAGAAGGTCCTTACAAAGACAATATTGCCTTCTCTATGCCTGGTTATATTTGTTTAATTTGATATTCTACACTTAGATATTCTACTTACTTACAATCAGATGAATTCAAACTTACAGGTTTGTATTTCACAGTGTTCCTTCTGAAAACCCTTCTTAAGGTCACATTGATAGCTGCTAGTTATCATACTAAAGGCTCTTTATGCTGATAAACCACATACATATATTGAACCAAAAATTCCACAATTTCAATTGCCTTAACATTTTTCTTATGTCATCTAGTCTTCTTGTTTTCCATATCTAGTGTTTCAAGTAGTACAAAATGTCCAATATGTTACAGTATATGAGAAACCATTTTCTTTAGAAGCTGTCACTTTGGGATATTGTCATACAATAAGAATGAGGAATTCTCCCTCATGCCTGGTTTCTTACACTATACAACTGAAAATCCATGTTTTCCAAAAAAGTCTTTCAAAACCACTAAGTAAAAGAAGATAAAAGATTGTCAAAACTATCCACATCATCACTCTAGGAAAATTTGAAGACATCAAAAATGGTGTGGTTTTCTTGTTTGAAAACACAGAATTTTGACCTGATTGCATAGCTCTGGATGATAATTCTGATTATAGGAAATAATTGATAATAATTGGAGTAGTCTGTGCAATCACAAGACATTAAAAACTGAACCACTAAAGTGAATAAATGTGTTTAGGAATGCTCTCAGAAAAGCCTAAATAATTTCAAAGTAAAGATATATTATCTATACAACTCTAATTCAAAGTCTACACCAAGAAGATATCTAAGGAACAAACATGTGGGAAAGAGTGATCACTTCAGAGAAGGCAAATATGATGCTGTGGTGTCAAAAGGAAAACATGCAGTTTTAAAGATATTCACAGTGATAATGCACCATTAAAATGTATCCCAGATTTAGAATCTTCTAAAGGGACTAAATAGCAGATTTCTAATTGCTCAATGGGATAATAAATCATCTGTGCTTAGTATTTCCTAAATGCTGGTGAACCATCACAAAGCATTCATGATTAAGAAATAGAGGGGAAGGCCTGGCGCAGCGGCTAACGCCTGTAATCCCAGCATTTTGGGAGGCCAAGGCCAGTGGATAACCTGAGGTCAGGAGTTCAAGAACAGCGTGGCCAACATGGCAAAACCCCTGTCTTTACTAAAAATACAAAATTTAGCCGGGCATGGTGGTGCACACCTGTAGTCCCAGCTACTCAGGAGGCTGAGGCAGGAGAATCGCTTGAACCAGGAAGCAGAGGTTGCAGTAAGCCAAGATCGTGGCACTGCACTCGAGCCTGGGCGACAGAGTGAGGCTTGGTCTCAAAACACACACACACATACACACACACACACACACACACACACACACACACACACACACCCCCAGGGAAAAATCTGGTGCTTTGCAAAGTCATCACAATACAGATTAAAATGAATTTGTCTTAAACCACTTAGACAATACTAACCAACTTTTACCAGCTGTAATCTATGCACAACCAAAACCTTCTACTGTGAGAGCGAAGCTCTTATGGAGTTCTACCTCATCAGTGGTCTACCATTATAAGATAAAAGACTAGGAGACTGTATTCACAAAAACATTTGTCTTTCCTTGGTATTAATTTTGGTAGGAGATGAGTTACCAAGTTAGAAATTAGTGTGGTTCCAAATTAAAACATTAAAAAGAACCACCTAACGTAAATATATGATATAAAATTATAAAACTAATCCTTTCAGACATTGCATCATTTTCAATAGAAATATATGCCAGTCATTGTTAATAGCTGGTTAATGTTATGTGAAATAGCATAGAGTGCAATAGCTTTAAACAGTTTTTTTATTTTTAATATATGAAGAATTCTTTATTAGATATTTTTAGAAGACACCAAAATAACAACTTGAGTAAGAGGATAAAAGATGAAAAATGTAAAATTATCTGTGGAAATAAATCCTGTGAGTAAAGCTAGCAATATAACCATACCTATGACACTTAACTACAAAGGGTTTAGGTAAGTGAGAAGGTCAAATAAAAATACAGCTAGAAGCAAATTCAAAATGATGAGCATACTTAGAGAAACAATTAGTCACATGGGCTGAAAACATGTTACAGTCACCACACGCAACACAAAGAAAAGTTTTGTAACGTAGATGCGATATTTCTAAAAAGTGACACCAGAAGGTGCCAAAAGCTCCAGTGATTATCTAAATCACAGAGAAAAGAGGTGTCACCTTTCAAATGAAAGAGAAGACCATGTATAGAGGTTTAGCTAGTAATGTCAGGAGTTGGTAACCACTGGCAAAATTACATGCATCTTCAGTGAGAAAATGCCATATTGATCCTTTCAGTTCATACTAGAAATAGAAAAGCAGCAACTAAGTATGACATGCATGTGCCTTATTTTTATCTACACATAGCCTGTCTGCTCTATAAAGCTTCTGGGTTAGTGTAAAAACACATATATGAAAATTATTAAATGCTAATTGCTACTCATATAGCGTAACTAAAATAAAAATAATTATAATACTGCATGCATATTTTTAAAATTCTTTCATTGAAGTCTGTACATTTGATACTGTCTCTTGATAGCTTTGTATTTGTATATTCAAATTTAAGGAAGGTGATACACCATGCAAAGACAACCCTTCATTAAGGTCTACTTTCACTAGATGAGAATAGACACGCACTTGACTTTGTGATAAAGTATGCCTATGGCCCAAAGTTGGTCCATGAGGTATTTTTTTCCAAATTACCAAAAATGTATCATTAAAACCTCAATAACATTTTGGAATTTTGTGTTTAATGATTAGCTATTAAAGGTAATAAATTCTAAAATACAATCTACAATTATTAATTAATCATAATCCTTGAAAATCATGGCTAATACAAGCTATTTCTTATTAGATGTTGTTTAGCAATTCATCTTAAAATTCATTTTGGTGTCTGAGTCTCCTTGGGGCTAATACAAACCTGCCATACATCAGGTCATCCTATAATCAACTAGCTATTTAGCTATTAGAACCAAAAAGACTCTCTTTCAAGACTGCAGACTAATTATCATTAAATAAATATGTACTAAATGTCTACCTACTCTGTGCCTGGTACTGTACCTGGACCTTACGTTGGTGGAACTTTCCTTGCCAATGGGGATCCTACATACTGATTGAAATTCTGTGCCATTCCTGTTGACTCCCCTTCAAGCCTTTCCCCATACACATATATCCACACATATCTAAAAGAAATAAGTAAAGTCCATCTATGCACATAAAATCCCACATATTCTTTCTCCCAATTAAAAGAGAATAATTTTTCAAGGCTATATAAAAAAGAGATCCTGAACTCTAATAATAGCTATAGCTTACCTATAGTAATCACCTAAAACTAGATTACCCTGGATTAACATATGATTTGTTTGTTTTTGGTGTAGAAGGGGAACATTGTGAAATAGAAGAGTTGGAAAATCCAAAAACATACATATCCACAAACACTTAGTGTATGTCCATAAAAAAGGCAAAAAAAACCTTTTACTTATCTTCAGAAGTGAAAGTATAAGCAGAAAGACAATTGATCAATTTGTTAATTGCTTTATTCTACTGGAGATGATGACCATGTCATTTTAGTTATACATACAAAATAATAATGGTGTAGGTGACATCTAATGTTATCCATTTATTCACGAATAAAAAGTACTGCACAGAAATATAAACACAACTAATCACAGCCAGATTTAGCTTTTATACGTGGCATTTTATAGGTGCTAGCAGATTTTTCTAAGCTTTCTTAAAATGTCATAAAATAGTTGTAATACTAAGGTCAAGAATGTAATTTGGTATCATAGGTCTAACTCACTAACTCTTTTGAAGTTAAAGTAAATCAAATTTTAATAAACCTTAGTATGACAATATTTGCTCATATTAAAAAATTATTTAGAAGTGTAACATGTATGCTATATGTAATACATATTATGTATGCTATGTACTATAAATATATGTGTTGGATAACTATGTAAAGATACATATATAATACATATGAACATATATAAGGATATATATGTATATATAAGGATATATATAAATATATTTAAACAACTGCCTCATTATTTTTGGAGAAATAACCATTACTTTGTAATAACAGAGTGATTATTGGATAAATATATATGGATACATCTATGTGCAGATATATACATATGTTTATCCTTATATATACATATATATGCTTATATATGTTCATATATATAGGTATGCTTATATATTTATCCAGTAATCACTCTATTATTACAAAGTAATGGTTATTTCTCCAAAAATAATGAGGCAGTTGTTATGTAAAACAATAACATAAAAAACTCTCCTCAAAATGAAACACATCCATATTTTAACATAATTGCAATTTGGTCATATTGGTTACACTATATAGGTAATATTGATTTAGAAGGACACATTTTTCAGATCTTAGAAAAATTCCATGTAACAAATTCATCATGCCTCCACCTCCCTCTTTCTTTCTTGGTTACACTGTACGTATTGTTATCACTTCACTATGTATAAGCTGGTCTATCAATGAATATAACATTTTTAAAATCACTGTCCTTGTTTCATTCTTTTTCCTAGCACTTTCTTGGTAGTTGGTATTCACCATTCTAACCCATATTTGGGAAGACAGAAAAATTTACATATTCTTCATTTTGTTGTATCTGTCCACCTAATGCTTTAAAAATCAAATTATTAACATGCAGGATAAGTCATGTGAAATAGCAGTTTCTTGGTTTAATTATAATCGTAAAGTTTTTTTCTGAATCAATGTTCATGTATTCAATCATTTATCTTCAGAAATATCTTCTTATATTAAAAATTCAAATGTGAGACTTTATCTCTTTTATGATTTTACAATGTCTGAACTTCTTTATAATCTATTTTAGACTCTAA